AAAAAAAAAAAAAAAAAAAAAAAGAGGATATGTAATCTGATGATCACAGTTTTCTTTGTGTTCATTCTTCTCAATTTATTTCCCATTTCATTCAATACTCTGATTAATGACTATGATGTTTGGAGTGGTATACTGCAGTTAAACTATCTAAGGAGTATTTGAATCCATTGGAAAATGAAGAATATTATGTAGACATGGTCAAATTAAATTTGCAACATTCACATACGTATTCATAAATACATATGTATAGGATTAGGCCCCCCTCACACCTAACCTCGGGCCTTCTTACCTTGCAGGCCATCGGCTGGAGTGTCACCCTGCTGCTGATCATCGCGGCCTTTCTGGCCCGCTGCCTGAGGCCCTGCTTCGACCAGACAGGCTTCCTGCAGCGTAGATACTGGAGCAACTACGTGGACCTGGAGCAGAAGCTCTTCGACGAGACCTGCTGTGAGCATGCGCGGGACTTCGCGCACCGCTGCGTGCTGCACTTCTTCGCCAGCATGCAGAGTGAGCTGCAGGCACGGGGGCTGCACCGGGACAATGCAGGCAGGAGCCCCGAGCCCCCCGCAGTGCCTGAGCCCCCAGAAGTCCTGGACAGTGGAAGCGGGAAGGCCCACCTGCGCGCAATCTCCAGCCGGGAGCAGGTGGACCGCCTCCTGAGCACCTGGTACTCCCGCAAGCCCCCGCTGGACCTCGCTGCATCCCCCGGGCTCTGTGGGGGTGGCCTTAGCCACCGCGCCCCTACCTTCGCACTGGGCACGAGGCTGTCCCAACACACCGACGTGTAGGGTCCTGGCCAGGCTTGAAGCGGTAGTGTTCGCAGGTGAAATGCCGCTCTGACAAAGGTCTGGAGGCTTTCCAGGCCATGGGGACCCCACAGCAGGCACCCTAACTCTTGTTAGCCTTCTTTTTCAAGTAGCCCAATCTCTGCCTAGTTTCTGGGTGTGGCCTCCAGTGTGCTTCACAAACTTTAATGTGGACTCGGTTCACTGAGGGCCTTGTTAAATACAGGTGCAGACTCAGCGTAGCCAGGACCGAGTCTGAGATTCTGCATTTGGAACAAGCTCCCTGGTAATACTGATGCACTTTTGGTCAGTGGACTAAACTTTGAGTAGCAAAAATCTAAATAGATCTGCCATGGGTTCTGGGTTCTAGAAGTCAATTCTAAATAATAATAATTACCTTAGTCTCTTGCCTGGTTTCATTTGTGTAATTGTCTTTTTTTTTTTTTTTTTTTTTTTTGAGACGAAGTTTTGCTCTGTTGCCCAGGCTGGAGTGCAATGGTGCGATCTCGGGTCACTGCAACCTCTGCT